ATAGCTCTACCTTGTACGACTTCCGAATTTCATGGCCGTTGAGTATCGACCCTTGATTCAAGTACCTTCACGAGGAGGGGGAAGCGGCGCGGCGGGAAGAAGAAGGAGCTAGCCATGTGAGTGTAGAGAATACAATTAGATGGCGTACTGTGAGAAACAGTGACGGCGAGGTATGCAAGCTAGAGGGTTTCATTAGCGCCTTGCCCAACATGGCTAATAGACTCGCTAGGAAACTAAAGAGTCGAACGCCCGTTTGGTCCGATGGTCAGACGGCACATACTCTCTACTCCTTGGCAATGAGTTTTTCGACGTGAACTGCACAGAAGGTGCTCCACATCAGTACCTTACTGTCCAATTCCCAGACGAGGGCATTTTCCAAGCACAGAGCCGGGTCCCGCGCACAATGATGTTCAGGCCATATGGTGTCAACCAACTTGTACATAGAAAACTCACTCGCGAGATTGCAAAGAAACACGAGAAGAAAATAAAAACGAAGCAGATCGTAACGATGATGGATCCCGAAAAGCAGAGAGAAGCTTTGGAAAAGGTACCCATATTTCTTGTCGGACTAATCTCTGATGGTTATCATCAAAGTACCTTGTACACTTACTGCAGTACTCTGATTTTCAGTCCGAAATGGAAAAATTGAGAGCGCGGCGACGTTTGGAGGCAAAACGACGTAACGCTACGCTTGGAGCGAGGGGGTTGACATCCCGAGATCTCGAGGACGATTCCGAAGATGATGAACTCTACGTTCGAGGCAATGCTAATATTCGGCAAGCTCTTGACAAATACGAAGATGACTTTGGTGAGTTGGAAGGTGTCCTTCTGCGTCGTGTGTTTGTTCTCACGCAATGATATTGGACAGTTGTCGATGACGATGAAGATGATGCAGCAGACGAAGAAGAAGAGGAGAGGGAACGGATAAATAGGGAGCGTATCATGAAGGCTAAGAGACAGGATAGTAGTCGGCGAACATCGCAAAGCGGGGAGGCTAGTCGACGGGGTGAATCCACCATAACACCGAAGAGAAATGTAGAATCCAGTGACCCCATGGACGTGGATGACGATGTAGATGAGGAGGACAATGTGATGAGAGCAAAGAAAAAGCGTCACATCATTTCAAGCGATGAAGACGACTGATGGATACATATATGATTAACATCTGTCAGGGACTGCATCTGTTTTGGTTTGCCATATTCTACATATTTCACAGGCTTGTCCTTGTGATCATGATTCATCGGGTAAAGCCTTCACGCACAATCCTCGGCCTTCCTTACCCCAGCCGTCTACCATATTCAAAGCCGCTCCCAGACTCCATCCCGTCTCCACCCCATTGATCTTCTTCGCCGTCTTTAATACTCTATCGTCTGGAATCTCGTATCCAATGCTGAGAAGGCCGTAGATGAAGCCCAAATCCGTACACCACTCGGGATCCGAAAATAGTTGCGCCGCTTCCTCACCGGCCATCTTTGAAATCTCTTGTGGAGAGAGTTTCCCCGCGCACACCTTTTCTGCCGCTGCCCGAATCTGGCCAACTGAAAATCCAAGGTCCGATACGAGCCCAAATGGTTCGGCAAATTTGTCGTAAAAATACGAAAAAGCATAAATCTCATTGTCCGCAAAACTGGCTGTCAAGGAGGGTTGATATACCCCATCAAATGAGCAGGACTTCTTTCCGCCAGCATTCGGAGCT